CGGCCTACCGAAAGACTCGGAAGGCAACACTGGTATTGTGGTCTTTGTTGACTGTTTGAGCAAGATGGCTTATGTAGCGGCTGTTCCGGATACGATCGATGCCGAAAGTACAGCAAAGCTGTTTATCGACTGTGTGTGATGTCAACATGGTTTGCATGTGGCAATTGTCTTGCCACATGCAAACCATGTAAACCACGGAATTTTTTGGAAGTCTATCTTTAAGGTGCTCGGCACACAATTGAGTTTGTCCACGGCGAATCATCCGCAGACCGATGGTCAAACTAATCGTGTTTTTTAATCGCATCATTAGTGACATTTTGCGCAGTGTTTCCGCTGTTACGCCACGGCGTTGGAGCTCGATGCTCTTTGTGGTCATGTTTGCGTTAAACAACGCTGTTCATGCCTCTTCGGGCTTCACTTCATTCTATGTGAATGGTACCATTCACCCACGCGTTCCGTTAATGCTTCCACTACGAGGTTCTAGTCTTGGTAGAGAGGAGTAGCCGATCGGCTTCCTGATGTCAATTCAACTGCTGTTCAAAAACAGTTAGGCGAATGTTTCAATACGCGATTAATTGTTATATGACATGTACTTGACAAAATAACTAGTTTCAAGGACAAAAATAGGAATAGATGATGACGAAGGCAAAAATTATTGAGAATTATGAATTTAAAGACCTAGTCTAACTCATAGCTACGAATCTACCTACCAAGGTGGTGTCAGCGGTCCGCGGAAATTAATTTTGCTCCTCGCTTTATTGGGCCTTTTACTGTTTGGCCAAGAAGGGCCTAGCGTACACGCTCAACCTCCCACGCGAGATGCGAACACACCCAGTGTTTTACGTCGGCTTGCTTGATCCCTACCTCGATCCGTCGCTGGTATCTCACGAGGCGCTTGCGCCGAAAGAGTTGGCGATTCCACAAGTCGAGGTACCCTCAAGAAAGATCCAGATGTCTTTTAAGACGGTCCCTTAATCACGCAGACCTTGCGCCTCACGCCCTATATCGTCAAAGACGCGTCGAGATTAGCAGGCAGTCGCCTGCTCTCGTTGAAAAACAACTGGAACAAAAGCTTAATGTTGAACGACTCCTACAGCGACGTAATCGCGATGGTCAGTGCCAGTACTTATTGTAGTGGCGAATGAACCCGAAGTCTGAGAGCTCATGGAATTATGAGCTCATGGAAGTACGAAGTGCCCCACTGGAGCAGGATTGTCCGCATTCCGCTGATGTTTCTGAACGTCGTCTACATTATAAGTTGACCCATACCACTTCCCACTTGTCGTTTTATGAAGCGGACGGGGTAGTAGCTGCAGCGGGTGTACTGATACGCGGGTCCGTAGCTGCCGAACATAGCGGGTGCAATAAACGATCGCAGTTGGACTTTGGCCTTCTGTTATGCGAATAAAAAGGCATCTTTCGTTCCAGCCGAAAAAGGCGAGTACAGCGCTCTTTTGGATGCTCCACAGTCTTGAGGTTTGGCGATCTTTATGATTCCAACGCGTGAAGACGACATCGATTTCCGCCTCTGTCTCACCAGGGACGAGAACGACGGGTATTGTCCGCATGGCGTACACTGACGCACCTCGTGCTTGCAGATTCAGTCCGTCGAGAAAATCTTGTATGGTCATACACTTGACCCTTAAATATGTCGCTCTAAAATCCTCCCCCTCCGCTAGTGCTGTGGCTGTGACAGCCTTGGGTCTTGTGATACTTGTTGCGAGTGAATCCCGATAGTCTGACGAATGCGCTCATCTTACTTGGTGGTGTGAAGCGGTAAGGACTGCGAGCATACGCTAAGGCTTCACATTGTGCTTGACGCATGCGGTCATCGACCGACTAATGGTATGGAGCTTGATCTTTATTACGTGTGTTGCGCAACACACGCAGCGCAGAATCGACGGTTGCACGATGTGCAAGGGGTGAAGGTACCTCTTTGTGCTACACGAATGGGTTCGGCGCGATGCGCGTGTTGTCATGCGCTGGTGGCGTGGCTGGAGGATGGTCGTAGATGCTTAGGGCAGCGGTGTCACTCTCATAGTCCACTAAACCTTTTTCGAGAAACTATTCCAGGGTGTTGGACGTAGCGTTCGACTCAGGCCATTTAAGATGTGCTAAAAACACGATTGTCAGGGATCAGAGCTTTTAGAACTCACAGAGCAGTATAAGAATATCGACACAAGGGCGTCGACGCATTGGTGGCTGAGGTTGATACGGGGTTTAACGCGTTATTTGAACCGGCTATGTTGTGTGTCCACACCAAGTAATGATCGGTGGATATAAGTGGTACAGTCTCGGTACCACGTACTTACGATAATGCCGCACTTTATTGGGTACAGATTAGGGATCAGACTACAGACATAGTATCGCAATGTAGAAGTCAGTTAGGCAAGGTTTTAGGGTTTCATTACCGTAGCTAAATACAAAAAATAAAGCTTAGTCCCCCTTTTGAATTGTTGGACTCTAGTGCCTAGTGAAGGCATAGCGTGTGGTAAGAGTGTTAGCCTTGTGAAAGCATTTACTCTTGTTTGACTAATGGTGACTAGCTAGTGTGTGATTCTGTGAATCTTTGATCCTTTGGAACAAGATTGTTAAGCGTGTACGCTTAAGCGACTGTACGTCGTTGAAGGTTTGTTTTAACTTAGAGACTGTTTGAGTCGAAGCCTTCCTCTGTTAAGCAGCGCTAAGTGGCTCCGCTACACGAAGGGTGAAGCTGTTAATGAGTGTTCGCAAGGTTAAATGCCGAGTACTAATAACGTACTTATTCATTCACCCGTCTATGTGTGTCTGTAAATAAGGCGGTTAGGTGTAGCTTTAATAAATTAGGTGTAATATAGCCTGCCGCTGACCACATGGGTATAAACAGTGCGCAACACCTATAACCTGTAACATGTCCGATCTCCGTCACTTATTACCTCGTCATCCCTTACTCCTTATGACACATATTCGGACTATAGATTAATTGAGTATACTATTTGTCTTACTCTTAAAGTCTCAAGCTTATATTTGACAAATTTTCTGGAAGTCATAGGACCTTTAAGCTAGAAAGATTAAATCAATCTTGGCTTGCGGCGAAACAAATTTAGCCGCCCTACTAATTCATGCGTACCCTTTTATCGGTTTCTTTCTTTTTCCCCAGTAGTTTTTTTTCAAATAAATTTAATTCGCAGCAGCTTATACGTTCACGTCTATCATGTCCAGAGTTGGGACCTTGCAGTACGACATTTAATTCTTTACGAAGTATTCGGCATCCTTGTCAGTCAGGCTCTCCCGATAAACGTCCATGTAGCGAAAGCACTTTCGAGCATGGCGGCAGATGGCAATGAAAGATAACGGAACCAGTAATTTTAAGACCATCGGCTCGAGGCATTTTGAAGACGGAGTCGAGATTTATCAAGCATTGCGTTTTGAACCTTCTCAGAACAAATCGATGAAGTTCAATTTTTAATGGGAACATGGGGTTAAAAAGACGTGATGGCCGGCTGCAATAATAGTCTCTTTACAAAAGAATCTTTGCCTCTTAAATTTAGGTTGATTCTAGATGACACTGCTAGCACAGTGAACGCCGGTGTAATCGCACTTGTCGCGGCAATCCAGACGAAGATTTTGCATCCAAAGATATCGTTATTGTATAACAGCTTAATTCTCTTTAATTGCCCAGAAAGAAGGTATTCGGCAGAAACACCATGATTGGGCTGTCCCATCAGGAAGCAACCCATCCTTCATTGCTGGCTGCTTTCCTCCAGATCCAATTTTTCTGCGTGAGGCGACCAGAGCATCGGCCACAATGGCCGCATGGCTTGTCGCATAGTCAAAGGCAAAAAGTGCATTTACATCCGAAAACTGCGCGTTTAAGTTTGAGATGGCGACGTCCGAATTTGCTTATGAAGGTGTTCAGCAGTCAACCAACCATCATTATTTCTTTCGGGACGCATAATACGCAAGCCTCCTTTGCAACGCTGAGTTCGCAGCTTGCTTGTCTACGCTAAACGCAAGGCGGCCACCTGCAACGCAGGTGGCAATAAAAGTGCAATGATTCATGTACAAGTATGAGGCGATACTTTATAAACCATAAGAACGTCAGTTTATAAAGTGCTAATGTGTGTGACCCTTCCTGCGTCCTTTTTGCTAAGCGGCTGTTCTCATTCAAGAAGACACAAAAAAAATGTCGTCGTGCTCAGCAATCGTGCTTACATCGTGCGTGACTAAGATTACCGCTTCGCCTTCTGGCCTGACCGCAAAATCCATCTAAGGCCTTTCAAACTTAGGAATGGAAAGTTCAAATTTTTGTCGCCACAGAAACTCTTGCCGATATGCGACCACGTCTGTACGATCGTGCTTATCAACATACATTTTCTTCCTCACTTCCGAGTATTGCAGGCCAAGGCTTTCAGTCAACGAGTGGCTTTGATTAAATGAATGGAGGCATCTTCGGAAGGAATTATTTTTGGACACGTTGGCAAATTATATGAGTTCAGCGTGGAATTAGTTGATGCGAAGACTGTTGCAAAACAAACGCCTCGGCAGGCTGATTTTGTAAGATGCACGTAGCTCATGTGGTATGGTGTGGCAGCACCATACGAGAGGTCACTGGTTCGATATCCAGTGACTGCAATAAAAGTTAATACCTTCGGGTACTGGTGTGCCGGGGTTCACCAGCACTGTCCTGCCAGACAGTGACGTCCCCCACATTTAGTAAGTTTAGGTGTTTGTTAGAAACACACCGCCTAGATTTAGTAATGTGCGACTAGACGATTAGTAATGCGCGATGTGGCGATTACTAATCTGCTCTATACCAGTAGTAATGCGCAATGTGGCGATTACTAACGTATAGGCAGAAAGAATTCAGTAGGCTTAGACTAGCAATAGGAGTTTGTGAACTAAGGACCTAAATATATTCACTTTGCATTTTGCCAACTTCATCTAGAATCGATCACTTCCTTTAGGTTATGAGTTCAAGCTCCGCTGACTCTGGCCAAGACTTCGATCACGCTTTCTCGATGGACTCTGCTCCAATCACCGCAGCTCGCATCAACAAGTTCTCGGGAACGAACTTCCACACATGGAAGGTCAAGATGCAGATGGTACTGGAGGAGCGAGATCTGTGGGACGTCGTGAGCGGCGAGGTCAAGCTCGAGAACTGCACCAGCAATCTTGATCAAGCAACGTTCAAGTGGAAGTCGCGAAAGGCGCTAGCTATCATCTGTCTCGCAATGGAGGATTCGCAGTTGCCACTGGTTCGCTCGGCGAAGGACGCGCATGATGCATGGTCACGTCTGGAAGGACACTACGAGAAGGAGAGCTTGGCCAACAAGCTCTTCCTTCGTCGTCGCTTCTTCACGACAATGATGGGAGAAGGTGATGACGTGCTTGAGCACATCAACAGACTCAAGACTCTGGCGGAGCAGCTCGACGCAGTTGGTGCTCCGGTAAGCGAGGACGAGTTGGTCATCACGCTTCTAGCCAGTCTTAGCGAGTCGTATCAGTTCCTGATTACAGCATTGGAGTCGAGAGCCGACTCCCTCACGTGGGAGCTAGTGACGTCTCGGCTGTTGCACGAAGACATGAAGCGCAAGGAGCAAGGTGGCGGAATTGAAGGATCCGCGCACAGTCAAGCTCAAGCATTCATGTCTCGAGATAACAAGCGCAAGGCTCGACCGATGAAGAAGACCGGTGCGTGCCACAAGTGTGGAAAACAAGGACACTGGATTGCGGAATGCCCTTCGCGGATCCAAGAAGACGCTGGTAGACAGAGGTTCCAGCGTGCGAATATCGCGCAAGAAGAAGAGCTTGGCGATTATCTTTTCTCGGTTGGTGGTGACAAGACCAAGTCGAGCAACATGTGGCTGGTCGACTCGGGTGCGACGCAGCACAAGACAAATTCAAAAAGGTTCATGAGGAACTACAAGGATTTTGGCCCTGTGGATGTACATCTTGCTGATGACGGTGTGGTCCAAGCAATTGGAAAAGGTGACATCGTTATGTCAATGAAGACTCACCGAGGGGTCAAGAAGGGTGTGCTCACGGATGTGTGGCATATCCCAAAGTTGTCGCGCAACCTGTTTTCTGTTGGCCGATTCATCAAGGACGTTGGACCGGTCACATTCGAGGTTGATGGTTGCTTTGCTGATACAAAGGGTTTAAGTGGAAACTCGGCGAACTCGAAGGAAAAGGACTGTTCAAGCTCTGTATAATACCGGAACTGCCCGACGAGGTCAACGTGGCAAGCTCGAATACCTGCAAAGCAAGCACCACCTCCTACCTCTGGCATCTTCGACTTGGTCACATTGGACACGGGGGACTAGATGCTATCGTCAAAAACGATTGCTGCAACGGAATCAACTTGACCTCGGTAAACAAGTGGGAGCTATGTGAAGGGTGCGCTCTGGGCAAGCAAACACGGGTGAGCTAAATGACGAAGTCACCCGATCGCGCAACGACACTGCTGGAGGTCATTCACAGCGATGTATGTGGGCCAATGCACACTCCTACCTTCAGTATCAAACTTTATTTTGTGACGTTTATCGACGAATACTCGCACTATTGTGTAGTGTATCTGATGCAAAACAAGTCTGAAGTTTTGACCAAGTTCGCTCAGTTTGTCGCGCTGGCGGAGACACAAACTGGCAATCGCGTGAGGGTTCTTCGAAGCGACAACGGTGTAGAGTACACCTCCGGTATGATGACCAAGTTCTGTTCGGACCATGGTGTTGTGCAGAAATTCACACCACCTTACACTCCTCAATTGAACGGTGTCGCCGAGCGAATGAATCGAACGTTGGTGGAAAGCGCGCGTTGCATGATGGAACATGCTGCGATGTCCAAGTCGTATTGGGGTGAGGCGGTAATGACCGCAAACTTCCTACGCATTCGCTGTCCAACTCGATCTACGGACCATGGCAAGACACCATACCAAGTATGGACTGGCAAGAAACCTCTTCTTGCGAACTTGAAGGTTTTTGGTTGTCATGCATACGTTCATGTGCCCAAGCCAAAAAAGGTCCAAGCTAGACGCAAGATCAGTTCATTGCCGGTTCATCGGGTACTCCGATCATGAGAAAGCGTATCGTTTTGAGGAGATCAGGAGCGGACGTGTGCTAATAAGTCGCGACGCACAGTTCATGGAGAACATTTTCGATAGTGGGAGACGTGACTACGTTCCAGATGAAGCTGTCCTCGAAGATGAACAGTTATCTGAAGAAGAGTACACTTATACCAACAACCCTGACACGGGACGAGAGTACACTACGCAGGATAATAACGATGCGATCAAGGGAAAGAGGCACCAACGCACGCAGTCGCTCGAAGCCTTAGCGAACCCTCCAGAGTCGAAAAGACCAAGTCGATACCCCACCATGGCTGAGATGTCTGCGACAGCGCATGACAGTCCCGACGTTGAGACGGCCTACATCGTGGATTCAGTGGGAGAAATGCCGACAACGCTCAAGTCAGCAATGGAATCCAGCGATGCAGTCCACTGGAAAGAGGCATGCGATTCTGAAATAACTTCACTTCGCCAGAATGCGACCTGGGAGCTTGTACCGCTACCAAAGGGGCGCAAGGCAATCGGCAATCGATGGGTTTTTCGGGTCAAGGAAACCAAGGATGGGACAATCGAGCGGTTCAAAGCGCGTTTGGTGGCCAAAGGTTTTCTGCAGAAACATGGCATCGACTATGAAGAAACTTTTTCTCCGGTGGCCAAGTTTACGTCAATCAGGATCTTACTCAGCTTGGCGGCAAAGCACAATCTGATGCTTCACCAGATGGATGTCAAGACAGCCTTCCTGAACGGAAACCTAGATGAAGACATCTACATGACACAACCGGATGGCTAAGTTGATGATGATCATCCGGAGCTTGTTTGTCATCTCAAGCGCTCTCTGTATGGTCTGAAGCAGTCACCACGAATGTGGAACCAGACCATCGACAAGTTTATGCTGGACTTGAAGTTTCGAAAATGCAAAACTGACCACTGCATCTACGTCAAGCGACATCATCAAGACATGATCTTCGTGGCGCTGTACGCTGACGATTTAGTCATCGCAAGTAACAACTTCGAGCTGATACAATCAACTAAGCAGGCGCTAAGTGAACGCTTCGACATGACTGACCTGGGTGACCTCAAGTACTTCCTCGGGATGGAAATTGATCAAGACCTCTCAGCCGGCACGATTTCAGTCCGTCAGTCCAAATTTGCAAAAGATATTCTTGAGAAGTTTGGCATGGAAAACAGCAATCCTGTCAAGACTCCACAAGAACCTGGACTCAAGTTGACAAGGTCAATGTGTGCAGATGGGTGCAAGCATGCGGAAACAATGGCAAATGTGCCATACCGCAACGCCATCGGCTATTTGATGTATCTCATGGTGGGGACCCGCCCGGATATCGCAGTTGCAGTGGGAGTTCTCAGTCAGTTCGCGGCAGAACCTTGTCCAAACCATTGGCAAGCGCTTAAGCGGGTGTTCCGTTATATTCAAGGCACAAGGACGTATGGAATTAAATTCCAAGCAACCAGTGATGACAAGCTGCAAGGCTACTCGGACGCGGACTGGGCTGGAGATGTCGAGGCTAGACGAATCACAAGCGGGTACGCCTTTGTGATGAACAACGGATGCATTAGCTGGAGAAGCAAGAAACAGAGCACCGTGGCTCTATCGTCTACAGAAGCCGAGTACATGGCTTTGACTGAAGCTGCACAAGAAGCAATTTGGCTTAAGGCATTCTTACATGAACTCGGCGAGATGAATAGCGACGAAGCAGTCAAGATCTACGAAGACAATCAAGGTTCCATCGCTTTGGCCAAGAACCCCGAGTTTCACAAGCGGACCAAGCACATCGACATTCGTTATCACTTTGTGCGTGAAAAGGTGGCAGAAGGAAAAGTGGTCCTGGAATACTGCTCGACCAAGGACATGAAGGCTGACCTAATGACCGAGCCAATTCCTGCATCACAGTTCCAGTATCTTCGAAGTATGTTGGGCATCAAGACGCCACGGTCTGCCGAGGCGAGTGGGAGTGTTGCAAAACAAACGCCTCGGCAGGCTGATTTTGTAAGATGCACGTAGCTCATGTGGTATGGTGTGGCAGCACCATACGAGAGGTCACTGGTTCGATATCCAGTGACTGCAATAAAAGTTAATACCTTCGGGTACTGGTGTGCCGGGGTTCACCAGCACTGTCCTGCCAGACAGTGACGTCCCCCACATTTAGTAAGTTTAGGTGTTTGTTAGAAACACACCGCCTAGATTTAGTAATGTGCGACTAGACGATTAGTAATGCGCGATGTGGCGATTACTAATCTGCTCTATACCAGTAGTAATGCGCAATGTGGCGATTACTAACGTATAGGCAGAAAGAATTCAGTAGGCTTAGACTAGCAATAGGAGTTTGTGAACTAAGGACCTAAATATATTCACTTTGCATTTTGCCAACTTCATCTAGAATCGATCACTTCCTTAAAAGACATGGTAACAACTCACTATTGGCATCTTCGTCCTTAAGATAGCCGATAATTCTGATTTTTTTCCATTGCTTGCTTTGAGGTATTTGCCGGTATCGAGGTATTTCCGTGCCCATGCACGAAGCATCACGGCAAACTTAAGACCTTTGCCGTTTACCGCGTAAATTATGTGCGACGCTACAATTTTCGGGTACATGAAAGAAAATTAGTACTATAATCTTGGAAAGCTAAATAATGCATTGCAGACAGTGCTGTACCAACCCTTTAATCTTCTAAGCACAAGTCTTATATATTCCTTAACTGAAGCAAGGCGCACGCACATAAATATTTACTGTGGTTTCGTCGCCTTGCTAAGTCTGTCGATTGCCTTAGTAATCTTGCTGGTAGACAAAAGGGGATCTTCTTCGTCTGACGACCATTTGACTTTGTCGTCACCTCTGGCAGGTCGCACCTGGGCCTGTGCTGGGGTTTTCGCTGGCACAACAAAAACTTACATTTTAAATGTTCGCGAATCAACTGTCGCCTTCCTCTGTTCAGCATGCTTACGAATTTGGGTTATTTAGGCGTCGCTAATATACCGCATAGATCGATGTTCTTTTTCAGAAAAAAACCTCCTTAGCTGCGATTGCCGTTGTCGTTTGTTGGGGCGCGCCATTCTTGCCATTGTTGACTACTTTACTACGTTGGTAGGTGGTGGAGACGTGCAAAAGACGTGTTCGTTGTGTGCAAAGCGATGAGAGCGTTGTTAAATGCGTTTTCGGTTGCGGGATACGGCAAAAGAATATTTTTCGAATTCGGCCGCCGAAAAAATAATCTATTTTATGTAGGTGGTGCGCACTGTAGCAAAGCTCGCATGGTATGCTTTTTTGCGTCCGATTTATGCAAAATTGTAAAACCCCGACTGCTTGGGTTTGTGGAAATATTGATTAATTTCGGTCCCTGAAACGTGTGCTGACGGTGTTATTGACCTCTCAAACTGCCAATTCTAGTTTCCATAATCTTCCTTTATCCCAAGTTACAGTTGTTACAGAAAACGCCTTGGCGATAAATTCATTCGAAAGAGATTGTAGCTCAAGAGGCACGGCGTGGCAGCACCATGCAAAAGTTCGCCGATTCGATACTCGGGTTTCGTAAAATGTTTAACCCTTCGTGTTTTGGTGTATCAAAGTTCACTCGCATGTGTCGCCAGGCAGTGACTTCCACCACGTGAGGTACTTATGATAATAATGCGCGACTACACGAATAGTAATGTGCAACTAGAAGATTACTTTTGTAGAAACGGAAAGAATTTGTAAGCTTAGAGTAGCTGCAGAATGTTGTGAACTAAAGAACTAGATATATTTACTGTGCACTTTACTCTTTATAGATCACTATTTATTGTTACTACGAGATTTTCAATTACATTAAAAACAAATTTATAGGTTAAAAAGGAGACCTCGGCGTCGACCATTAATCCTTGGAAGGATGTTTCAATCCTCACATAAACTTCAATATCCGTTCTATCGAATTATCACAATATCCAGCAACAATGATAGCTTACGTATTCTCAGCAGTGAGCTTTTGGTTGGCAGCATTCGATCACGGCACAGCAGTGTTGCCTCTGCGCCTCTCCTCTCAATATTATCGACCCCGCTACACTAATCAGCGACAATAAAGTGCAGAACCAAGACGACTACTAGAGCAAAGTGAAGAACGTAAGAAACAAATCGCGCGAGAAGCGTGGCCGCGTTCAGGGCAAAGTTTGGTAGCACTTTACCACCCTTTTCAGCCGCAGAAGTTCAAGTAGAACAATTGCAAGCATCGCAAGACCCTGTTTAGCTACCACAAAAAGAGCGAGATAGTCAAACATTCGCTCAACATTTGCAGGCTTATCCAAAAGCTGATGAACGGCATGGAAGACGTCGTTTGCTTGGATTGGTATAATTGAAACAAGAAGCCGAAGCGCCAGGACTAGGCTCCATCTTTATCCAATGCCAGCTCGAGCCAGCAGACTTCAGTCAAGCTGTTCACACTGATTGCAGTATGTAAGGCGGTCAAAGCCAAGTTTTGACAGCTAAATATTCTCCATTTTTATGCGACCAGAATTTTTTTTAACGCGTTCAAGATGTGCATTAAAAGGAGGCCATCCTTTTGCTGCATTCTGACATCAACGTACCCCCAAGTCGCAAGCAGCGAGAATTAACGCTTTTCTACAGATTCCACGACGAACTTTCGGCGATTGTTGATCAGTTGGCTGACAGTACAATGTGCCTGACGACCGATGGCTTGACAAATATCAAAACGATTCTGTCATCTACTGCATGGTCGTTTTTGTATCTCTGCAGCCAGTTTCTGGAATTAGTGTCGACTGGTCAGCAGGCATACGACGACCAATTCACCTCTGACTACATCGCTCGCTAAATCTTTATCCATTACAAGACGACATCTGCAGGTGCCGTGACCGATAATCCCAGTGCGAACAAATAGGCGTGAAAGGTCCAATGTAACAAGTAAATAAATATATTTCCAAAGATGTTGTGTGCGCGGCGTGATCCTTTTTGTAAAATACACATGTGGAGCCACCAATACCAAGCAAGGTGGCATCAGGGAGGCAATGTATCTCGGTGTCTACTCGCAGGTTTGCAATCCTGCATGACAATGTGCAAGCTTAACAGAATTTTATTAAGTTCTTCCAAAACGACCATATTCTATAGGCCCAACTTTGCGATTTGCAAAACCATAACGGTGCGTCCATGATAAGGAAAGCGGTACTAACCCGTTCAGACATGAATGAGACAATAAAAAAGACTCTGCTTGCGTCAGAACGACATTTTTACGCGCTCGTCTCAGGGCGCTATTTTATTTATGAGACAGAAATTTGCAAAGCTTAGAGGTCCGAGGTGCGCACCAACGTCACTGACGAGCATTTAGCCGACAAACTAGATAAGATGACGGCGATCCCTGTCCCACTAGATCGCCTCATAGTCAATTACCAATCAAACGAGACCCCAAACTCAGAGGTGTTGCCTGACTTTCTTGACCTAAAAATTTATTATTGGACATTCCACAATAGCGACGTCGTCACCACGGAAGGACGGAATTACCGATTTTAACATTTTTCGAAGAATGAAAGAATTCCAGGTGTTGCATGGCACACGGCGTGTCCAACCTAGTCGACCCGGTACTCCTTGGTGAAGGCACGTTCAGCGCCAACCATTTTAAGTAGAGGACGCACCTTTTGTAAACCTTATTGACTATAAACAGCTTGTGTCGATGCCCATTAAGCAAATTACTTGTGCCATACAAATTGTAAGATTGCATCAACAAATAAAAAAGCGCGATAATCAAAAAAATTTCAGCTATTTGCCGACATACGGTAGACTCGATTGGGTTGGAAGCTGACCGACGGAGGGTCTATTTAATGATCCATAAAGTCAACACCAAACTTTTCGGCGTAGCCACCTCGACCGCAGAGATGTAGCGCTGCTCCTGAGCGCTACATCTCTACTATGCAATTTATCCAATTTTAGCTCAGAAACATCTTGGCCACTGATACCGTCAGGAAGCTTGTAATTATCAAGTCGATCTTGGAGATGTCTACTACATACCAGAAGGAGAGAGTGGAACTTACGGTATGACAATTAGAGCGACGTCGATGAAAATAGGGCAACTTATTTAAATATACATAGCATCGACTCAAGAATAAATAAGATAGCATTGTGTTATTTACCTTAGATCTAAATGTTCGATAACTCTGCCGGATAATCGGGCTATTTTACCTGTAATACTCATGCACATAAGAAGTAACTTATTGAAAGGGTCATCATTGAAAAGCACGCGCGTAATTGGCTAAGAATCAATTAAAAGATGAAAGATCACATTCGCATGCGAAAAATGTTTGATAGCAAAGGGCGATCACGTTGACCAGACCATACTAAACTAGATTTGTACAGTTAGTAACAGCATCATACTCATTTTCAGTGACTGCTGTTGTTAATCAAATATTTGAACTTATAACAATTAAACAAATTTGATTACTAATATCAAAGGGCGACGTCCAAGGATTGCTTCTATAGCGGATCTACAAAGCTCATTAAGTTAGAGGAGTCCTTAGTGCTCGAAGAGAAATGTTAGTTTTGAAGAGTCTCTACGAGTTAACAAGCGTAAAGCTTGAGGTACCTGTTCCAGGAGACCGAACGATTTTGTGAATCTACAGCACTTAGTGCTCAAGAGTAGCTACCATAGGGAGGTGTTGCTAACTCTTAACGATCTACGATTAGCGACGCCTCGCAAGGCACGTGTCTTAGACAAGTTCAAAATAAGAACTGACTTTTGTTAACGTTTAACTCCATAGAATTTGTTAATCCTAATATTACCCAATCCAGGCACTCATGTCCTGAATTATTATCTTCAATATATTTTCCATGCTGTGGCTATCATCCGTCATCCCCTATATACCGATAAGATATTATACATCTATTTCAGTGGGCTATCATCCCGTGTGTCCAAGACACAAGGTACCAAGTATCCTACGATGTGTAACCGCTTTAAACCCTCCCGCCAAAATGAGGTTACCCTAACGCCAATCGAAATTTGTCTTCGACGAGATCATTGCGCTTGCGGTCA